GGCCGACCCGGCTCCGTGTGGAGCTGGAGGTGAGCGCGCGGGTCAGCCCTGAGACGGACCAGGCTGTCCCACAGGACCGCATGTGGGTGGGGGTGGGGTTCCAATTTGAATCCCTCTAGCTCATTTATTCCTTGTGATGGTTTTCCTGAATACAGCATCACAGGTGATAAAAACAGATGTTTCCTATTTTTTTAAACAAAATTGCCAGTATAGGATTCAGAAAAAGACTAGCTCAGGCCAGAGAAAAACAGTCTTAACAGTCAGCCGAGCTGAGACTCCGAGGTCGGCTCTGCCCGCCTGGGCACGAGTTTCCCTGCCTGCCAACCTGACTGACAAGGACTGCTGAAGGCCGCGAAGCAACACTGTTATCAAGTTGCCCTCAAACTCCCTGAGCAGGACCTAGCTAAAACATAGCATGTCCATGTTGTCAGGTACGGGAAGGGCCCCAAAAGAGACCCCAACCAAGGCTACATGCTAACCCAGGGGAGAAGCCTGATCTAGGGCCCTCTCAGTGGAGGGGTGTAAAGTAAGGTACCAAGAGGGGAACGAGGAAGGGAGCAGAAAGACACAGTTGTGGCCGAAGAGGGAGGGGTGCAGGCGGGGCTGACGCAGAGCCCCCCACACTGTGCCCATGGCCGGCCTCCTCCCTGACAGGACTGGGAGGGCGACGTGCGCTACGCTGAGTACAGCCACTTCGTTCTGGGCAATGAACTGAACAGCTACCGCCTCTTCGTGGGGAACTACAGTGGCAACGCGGGGAACGACGCCCTCGTCTACCATAACAACACGGCCTTCAGCACCAAGGACAAGGACAACGACAACTGCTTAGACAAGTGCGCAGAGATCCGCAAAGGTGAGATTTGGGGGCGGCAGGGGGGCTCAGGTATAAAAGCCGCCGTCCCTCCTGAGAAGTGTGAGCTCTGAGAGCCCGACTTGCAGCCCTTTTAATACTGGCTCTGACTGCGGGGTTACTGCCGTCGGCTGCTGAGGGCAGCGCCCAGCACTGACGGCTTTGATCTGTCTGTGCCAGGTGGGTACTGGTACAACTGCTGCACGGACTCCAACCTCAACGGCGTCCACTACCGCCTCGGCGAGCACACCAAGCACCTGGATGGCATCACCTGGTATGGCTGGCATGGGTCTAGCTACTCCCTCAAGCGGGTGGAGATGAAAATCCGCCCAGAAGACTTCCAGCCCTGAAGGAGGCTTGTTGTGGAGCAGGACTGGAGAAATGGGAAAAAGTGGAGGCCGGAGAAGGAAAGGCAGGCTCTGAGAAACACAACAGCAGGATGCGCCAGGATGTTGAACGGGTAGACGAGCATTTCAGCACAGCAGGTCCTGACACACTTGCTGAGGTGGGATGGGGCCTAGCCTGAGTGCTGCGACCCCTGACAGAGCAGTAGCTTGTGCTATGCTTGTGCACGATTCTTCTGGGAACAAAAAATACTGAGATCAGTTCATTTCCCCCAAGGCCTACATTATGTGAAAGTAGAAAATAAAGCTTCTTAAAAGGAAGTATACGATTTTGATTCTTAGGAGAGGCCTTGGTGGCAGAAAAACGAAGGGAAGAGGAGGCGAGGAGGGAGCCACTCTTCTTAAATTCGGTGAACTCGCCTTCGCACTGCTTTTCGCTTTCTAAAGACAAAGACTTTCCTGCTAGAGCGGAGCGACCCAGGCGGGGCTTGCCTAGAGGAAACTCTGGGCACTGGGCCTGGCAGGTGGCCCTAGGGCCTCCGCCGTGGCCTCGGCCAGGGCACAGCACTGAGAGGCAGGATGGGCCTGGAGGCACCAGGAGCTCCACCAGGGGAGGAGGGCAGGCGGGGGCTGCTCGCACACACCGCCTCACCTTCGCGGGCAGCAAGACATAGTCACTCTGTGAGAGCCTTTTCCTTTTATCTTATATCAACAAAAATGGCTGAAAATGAAGGTAGATGGTCCTGTGGTTAATAATTTGTGCTATATATGAACATCTTGCTTTGTAAAAATAAAATACAGTACATTGTTTTAAATGTTCAGCTTTTTTTCCTTCTACAATAAACTTTGTTGTTTTGAAGAATTGTTATTACTACTAAAGCATGGTAGTATTTTTACATGTAGAAACCTATGTAGCCTTATAAACAAGAATCTTGGGATTTTCGGGTCCTCCCTGATGGCTCAACGTGTTAAAGTACAGCACTGAGAAGCTAGCCACAGCCGCTTCAGCATGAGCTTGATCCCCAGCCAGGGAGTGACCCATACGGTGTGGCAGGCCTTTCCTGTCTCCCCGCTGCTCTCCTCAGCAGTGTGCCTGTTCTGATCCCCACTCTGTCCCTGGTGAATCCTCTCACCCCCCGCATCTCTGGCCTGTATCCCCGCTCTGTATACATACATAAATAAATCTTTAAAAAAAGAATCTTGGGATTTTCAAAGAAATAAATGGAGCAGAGAAGAAGTACACATGAACAGAGCCTCCTGCAGGAAGGCATGTAAACAGGAGCTTCCCGAGGCTGCGCCACACTGCCAGGAAAGACGGGAAGAGCTGGGGTCGAGGGAGCCGAAGTGGAGGGGGAGCACAAGACACTGAGCATGAGTCGCCAGGCTCGGTGTCTCTCGTCGGTACCCACAACTAAAACAACAGGCTCTGGGCAGTGGAAGCTGCCATTAACAAGTGCGAGCACCTCGAACTAGAAAGCTGCTGAGCAGCAAACAACAAACCAGAAAGGCCAGTGACAGACACTAGCAGACCGTAACACTCCCACGGGGTTAATACCCCAGGTACATGAAGAACCCTGAAACTCAATAGCCAATGTGTCAACAGTCCAATTAAAGAACTGGGAGAGAGGCCTGGAATATTGTCCCAGGGAAGACATGCAAAGGCCCAACAGACACTGACAAGGAGGCTCCACGGCACTAATCATCAGGGAAACGCTGACACAACGAAGTGCTCACACCTGCTGGAATGGTCCCTCCCAGAGACGAGGGAGCGTGTTGGCAGGAAGCAGAGGAAAGGGAGCCCCGGGCACTGTTGTGGGAGCACAAGCGGCCACGGCCACACGGAAGCAGGTGCCGGCTGCTCCCAACCTCTGGCCTACAACTGCTGTGTGACCCAGCACCCCGCCGCTGGCATTTAGGGCAGGAGACAAAAATCCCAACTCGAAAATACATGAACCCCCATGTACACTGTGGCATGGGAACAGACACGACTCATCACTAATCTGGTGGCTTACACTTAAGTTTCTGAGACTAGATCCTACTTTAAACGTTCTTCTTTTGGTAAGACTTAATTATTTTATACATACAAGAACTTGGAGTACAGGCCAGAGGTGTGGGGTGAAAGGATTCACCAGCAACAGTGGGGAACAGAATAGGCAGACTGACTGAAGTACACTGCTGAGGGGGGCAGCAGGGAGACAGGAGGTCTGCTGCGCCCTAGGGGGTCACTCGCTGGCCAGGGATCCAACTCGTGCTGCAGTGGCTGCAGACAGCTTCACACAACTTCAGAGCTGTGCTTTAACCCACTGCGCCAGCAAGGAGGGCCGTTATTAAAACATTCTTACCACTCACACACAAAAATGAGTTAATTTTAACCTCACTTTTGTAAAGAGGTGCTAGGTGTGGTAATTAACTGGATCTTGAGAATGAATCCATAATATATATATCAAATCATCACACTACACTTTAAACACGTGCAACTATCTTTGTCGTTCGGAGACAAATGGGCAGAGAGCATACATAGTGCACTGACCAGAACCTGCAGATGCAGAGATTCATTTCTCTACATATTCACAACTGAGTAACTAAGTTTAATGTTTGGTGACAAAGTTCATGTCGGATAAAAAAAAAAAAATTACCATCATAAAATCCCACAAAAAGTGAGAGCTGCGGCTCTGAATAAGTGTCTGCAGTTACTTCACACTGGGGGAAGCTTCCGAGAGACCGGCAGAGGCGGGAAGGAGAGCAGTCGTTAAGAGCACAGAGGAAACCGGCCACGTACCCCGGCGGCAACCAGCATTTTCAAAGTGCTGCTTCTGGTGCAGGCTGACGGTGGGACAAGGCTTCCAGAGGGACAGACACAGCCCTGGTCTGGAAGCCCAGAAAGGCCAGCAGCAGCAGCGCTCAGGGCCACTCCTGAAGGTAAAGAACATTCTGTCCTGCCTACAACCTCTATGGAGGGCGAGGAGGGACGAAAGAGACCAGGCCTAGCGCACAGCGGTTAGAGCTGTATGTCTGCCTGGCGAGCAAGGTCTTGTTTTTATTTTTGATTTCGCAGGTGGCTCATCAGAACACTTCTCACATAAGGAACCATGTCAGGCTGGCAGCGAGCGTGCCCAGGCTTGCTCAGATCGTCTCTTCTGTGTAGTGCAGGGGAAGAAAAGCAGGTAGGAAGAAAAGTGGGCTGACTGCCTCCCCCAAATCTATGTGCTGAAGCCTAATCCCCAAGGTATCCGGAGTGGAACCTTTGGCAAGTGATTAGTGCCCCGTGATGGGGCTGGCACTCTTTGGAAAGAGACCCAGAGTTTACTCTCCGCTTTCCGCCATGTGAGCAGAGCCCTGCAATCTGGCCACCTGGGCAGGCCTTCACCAGTGCTCGGGTGATGCTGGCACCCAATGCTAGCTGCCACAGCTGTGAGAGCGAGTCTGTCACTTAAGCCACCCAACTGCGGCCACTGGATAAAACCCTAAGGTCTATCGTCTCAGCCCCACGGTCTCAGCCTCAGTGCTGGTGTGGGGATGACACGTGTCTGGAGCAGACAGGTAAAAATGGCCACAGGAAGGCAGACGGATCCAGCGGCAGAATAGCGGAGCACGGCATTTTGAAACAAAAACTAAGAAACAGATGTTTTCATATATACTTAACCTGATCATTTCAAAAAGAATTCAAGTCACTTGTTCAAATTTGTAAGTTTAAAAAAAGTAGACACGTGACCAACAAATGCTGGCCGCGGCTGCAGAGAAAGGGATCCTTGCCACTGCTGGGGGGGATGCAGACTGGAAGACTGCGGAACAAGCCCTCAAATTACCGCAAATGGGCCTACCCGACCGCCAGCAGCTCCACTCCGAGGAATCCACCCAGAAGACGCGAAACACTAATTTGGAAGGAAACCTGCGCCCCTACGTTGCAGCACTATCTCAACAGCCAAGGCATGGAGACACGGCGGGGCGAGGCCTCCTGGGAAGACCGAGGGAGCACTATGCAGCAATCAGTAGGCGCGAGAGGGCGTCATGCTCAGGGGGAGGACCGAGCACAGGGTGTAAGGGTGACTATGGGGAAGTCGAACACAGTGTCAAAAAAAGACAAAACTGAAAAAAGTGGACAAATGGTGAAGAAAAACTAAGAGCAGGAAGACAACCGGAGGTGGGGAGTGCCGGAGGCAGAGCCGGGGAGGGGGACCGAGAGACTGGGGTGGTGCCGGAGCAACTCTGGACAGTGGCTTTGCCTGAGGCTGTTTCTGAAAACTTTCTTCAGCGAAGATGACCGTGGAACACAACAATGGTACTGAGGAAAAACAATTCCATAAGATCAGCAGCTAAGCTGCAGGTGGAAACAAACAAGGAGGGAGAGGGAAAACCGAGGGGCCAGGCGAAGGGCGGCGACCGCCGAGTCGCTGAGCCAGTGGCAGGGACCGTGACACACCGCAGGCCTGCACTGAGCTTGAGCTGCGTCTGGTTTTAAGACCAAGGCCCCTGTGAGGGAATTCTGAGAACCTGCTTTCAATTACACTGACACGCAAGGCTGAATGACCTTCTTGATCACTTTTCCAGGCCTCTGACTAAATCTTTCTATTACAAACATGCACAAGCATCAGTAATTCTGAGTGTCTCAAAAGTGTGTGGAATCTGGAGTGGGATGAGGGAATCTGGAGAGAAGGGTCAGGTAAAGGTTAGCAAGGAAATGAGTGCAGAGCACGAGCTGCCTGGCCACGTTATCTTACTCAGTTCCCAGCTGGTGGTAGCTGATCCCACAGGTGGCAGGAAGCTAGAGCTCACCCAGGTGCAGCGTACTTGGGGCCATTCTGGTCAAAATTCTCTCAATGTCCAACTTGTTGGACAGAAACATGACTATCTTTTTGACCGTAAAGGAAGGCCTTTTCGCATCTACTCGAAAGCAGAGTGAGCAGAGAACCAGGCCACATGGCCATCTCCTTAGATGACAGAGGCACCCCACACATCAGACTGCTCAGCCATTATCGGGGGGGCTCAGCAGCTGGGCGATGCCCCCCACTATCCGCAGTGAAATCAACCATGTAAGTATTTACAAGAAAGAAAATAATTAGATCCCAGAGTTAACATCCTGTGACAATCATTAGGGGAACCGGAGTTAGCACGTCTGCTGCTTGCGTATTAACAATCTGCTTTTTCCGCACACAAAGACCCAACACCATCTTACGAGAGAGAAGCCAGTCGGGCAAAGAGCATTGCCCCTCAGCTTGTATATGCACAGGACTCCCAAGGAGGGCCCAGCCGGGTACAAATCTACCTTTCACGGTGCTCCCAGGCTGATCTCACCAAGGCAAGCAAGCCCAAGCTGGAAGACA